TATACAAATGCAAGCTTGGGGGTCGCCCTTTCCCCTTCACACACACACATACACATATATATATATACATATGTATATGTATGCATATACTGTGCTATACATACTACCGGATTCGCATGTCTGACGAGCGACAAGAACTGCGAAACCGGTCATGTGTTTCCAGGGGAATTTTTTCCCGACACGCTGAAGACGCTTCAGTCGCGTTGGTTGCGGTTAGTAGCATTTAACCCATCTACAAATCATCGAATCATGGTATCGATTCTTCAATGTACTGATTCTGAAAAAACTGTGCAAACAAGTTTACCCGGTGTTGCAAATGAGGTTATTGTGACAAATATATATATAATATTTCTCACGCTTATTTTATTCTCGTTTTTCAGTCATCTTTCTAAATTTATTTGAGCTATTTGTAGTTTGGTACTTTTGGGACAAAGTGCAGGGAACTTTGTCAATCCGTACCCCATTGTTCTTTAGTTACTGAACTTCGGATGTTTCTGCTTGTACCAATTGTAACTGCATTTTCATATATATACAGAATTGTATTGAAAAAATAATAGTGGAAAGTTTAATTTTTGGTACCCATCTTGCACAACCCACCGGATTGATCGTCTGTCACACGAGGAACATTCTGTTGAATGTGAACGGGGAGACAGTATGTTGTTGTCGCCTCTTAGTTCTACTCGGCCTGGGATTCTAATCAGCTCTGTTCCAGGTGGGCGAGCTTTCCACATCCGGTCCGAATGGCATATGCATTCGCTTTTTTGATCACTCACTGTTTTCCAATTTTCTATCTCTTTTTCCTCATATTTCTATCTTATCTGTTTTGGCCCGGAACGAATAGAAGTCAAATCTTTCCGGATTGAACAAAAACCGTAGACGCTGACCGTGCATATCTTTGATCAGCTGTCTGTCCCCACCTAGCCACGTGATTTGGCTTATGTTACTGCCAGTCTGATTTAAACTAAATTTTCTAATCAATAATCCAAATTCAGGACAACTCCTACCACATTGACAATCAGTCCGGGTAATTTTCCTCATTTCGAAGCAGAATTATAGTCGTGGACTGATTTGATAGATAACCGCTGTGTAAATATTCCGCGTTGCCTTGGCCCCGGAACGGATAGTTTATCAATCGTGTTNACAGAATTGGGTCTATCTGAACACAACACGACGATTGTCTTTATTTGGAGCGTGCTCAACGCTATGAACGCACGCGATCAAGTGAACTCAGTCTGTGTGTGTTAATTCTTTTCCGCCTTGTCTTGCTGAGCATGTCCACCCCGTTTCTGTTACACTATGCACTATGAACCGGTCAAAATCTGTCAATCGGTGGAACTCATTGGCTGATTTGAACGAAGATTTGGAAGTTCATCGGATCGCCTGCGAGTCAGCTTCACCAGTTTTGCACCCATTGTGCATGCTACACACAATTGCACTATGCCTGGGTCCTGACGAAAAGAGATATTCGTCGAACTCCATTTTTTCCTCACCCAGTTTTATGGCCTTCTGGTAAAAGATTACCGAATTAAATTAGCCAACAAGTAAACTGGAAAATTGATATTGTCATTTACACTGATTTATGTTGGTTTTGTTTCGAACCGATCAGTCGTTTTAAGATGTTTCAACCTGTCACTTTTTTGAACTTTTGTCGTCTCGTTCCCACTTGAATTATTTATTCACCTGGGGTGATATCGTTGCAGACATTGTTTCGATGGGTTTTTCTCCAGTTATCTGTACGATGCCCTACCGCTGACGCTGACCCTTCCGGAGATCCGGTCGATAGAACGAACTACATTTCTGTCATGTTATCGGGCCAGTGACAGCTCGAGTTATCGATCAATAATCGACAGGACACACGCGCATACAGCAGCTGCTGTTATTCCCTTGTGTGTGTGTATGTATGTGGTTTGGATTGTCCCACCACTGTTGTCATAGCCATCAGACACATTTTGTTCGATGAGGCCTCCCGGTTTTTCACCCGAATCCGGATCATCATCTGACGATCCTGTCAGATGCCACTTGGTTACTTGGGACGACATCATAAGCTCTACCCAAACATCTGCTGTGTTTCGGACGATAGAAGATAGAGTGCGGACTGCATGTGCATATAGTACTGTCCCGTTCAGTGCTATGGTAGGCGAAGTGGCACGGCTCGCCTGCAGTTGAATACACATAAACAGAGAATTCTCTCAATCATACAGATCAAACATACAGTAACCGTGAGGGCATGCTGATGCATGCAGTTAGATTGTTTGATGAAGGGGAATCGCTGAGTTGGGTTTTCCAAATTCCATCAATAACGTGGTCAAATTGTTTTTGAACCGTTTCTTTCCGACTTGATTGACCTCATGATGATGCTTGAAACAAACACACGGGCGTTGGTATAGATCATCTTTTTCATCACCCCACAATTCGGTCAAATCAATTATTTGTTTATATAACTTGAGTGCAATGGTTCAGTCACTGTCCCCGGTTTGCTTTGGACCCTATGATCCGCGGTTCGAGCCCCACCATCGCCACCGAACTTTGATGATAGGCAGTTGTTTTGTCGTCCGGTTCTATCGTACGTTTGACCTAGTGGGGCCTTGGGTTACCGGTTTCCAGGTCTTGGTGACTATGGAATCCACCCCATCTGAGTTTCATCGCGTAATAAAAAAATCGTTTGCAAAAATGGTTTGTTTGTGCCAATATTGGAATGGATCAGCCGGCTTGTGGTGTACATTGTTGAAACAACGTCGCATAATCATCGTATCCGATTTGGGCTAGCTTTGAATGGTCCACTTGTTAATCTCACTCAGTTGCGCAGCAGCTTACAACGTTGGGATCACGCATCGGGCCTGATTACTATTTCGATCTGCATCGACTTTTGGGCACACCAAGAGCATAATACTTACAGTGTCAGTTTTTATTTTCAGCCTTCCTGTGGTGCAAAAAAACGATCACTTCATTCTGTGCCCTCTCTCTCAATTAAAGTTATATATATATTTATATGTATACACACGCGCGGATGTGCATTCCGAACACCGCGGGTGAACAAAACTCAAACTTCTCTCAATGATTCCAACTCTGATCCCCAGTCAGAATTGATCTAGCCAGTTGGGAGTGTGTCGGCATTCTTTCGTTTTTCACAAGCTGCGATTTTGTATTGTTTGAACAGGTTTCCTCCCGAGCGAGGGACGCACTTCTGTGCTCTCCTTATTGGACACGTTTGATCGTATTCGGTTTGAGAACCCCTGTTGTGCTGTGATCAAAATGTTTTAATTCTTGAATTCTGTTCAGTTATCGCGCACTCTCTCTCTCTCCCTCGTCATAGTCGAGCATACTGTTACTCACGTATTTTATCAGTTACTTTCTGGTGCCTCGGATCACTCGCGTTCGGGCT